AGTTGGACATTTACAATCAATAGTTGCTCGGGAAACAATTTAGAGCAGTTAAACTGTAATGCAGCCCTTATTTGCATATAACGAAGTGAAAGGCACCAGGAAGTTGGACGCTACAGATCTCACACGAAAGAAGGAGTGCATAATGCACTGAGAGTAGATACTGTGCAATACGCACATAATTTCGGTTCGATTCCCGGGCGGGCGGATTTGCCAAAGTTTCCATTGTTCCGAAATCGGCAAATTGTTACCACGCTTTTCTGAGACGATGGCAGAATTGACTTGATACATTAGCAATTCATCTCAGATTATGTGCAGATCAGATATGCACACTTACCTCTAACAGTGCTTCGCTAAGTTAAACCACATGGCGTATAACCCAGAGAATAATAAAAGAGAGTTTTTCATCTTTTATTTTACAAAACATCACAACGTTTCTACCTCTTTCGATTATCACTAGCGCTCTTTCCGTATTACTCAAAAAAAGAGTCATGCATCTTTGCTACCTCCGATGACTAACAAGTAAGAAAAAGATTTTCCCAGGATTTTTGAAAACGCACTAAACAATAAGAATGATAGCAAAAGGGCAAATCTAATATCAGCAAAGGCACTCTGGTGGGAAGCACGCCACTACGTTCAGGAAGTTGTCATTAGTGAAGAACCACATTCATTCAATAATTGATCTCAGTGTTATCCGAAAAGACAGTTATCCCAAAAAAGACAGACAAATGAGGATCTCCACAATTTCAACAAAAAGTTTATTGCTTCACGAGTCAATTGATGAAATAGTATGAATTATAGGATGACTATAAATCGAATTACTGGGCGTTAGAATCAATGACGGAGTAAACTCCAGGAAGACGACTGAAAGCGACAACCGAGTGTGTAGTGATGAAGATTATCAGGAAGTAAGGTGCTAGATCGATTGCTTACGCCAACAGTTCCTGCGTTCACCTGGGAAGGTCTTAGCTCGGCTATCTCCAAGATTGCGAAAAAAAAAAATTGACTCGACCAGCTTCTACGATATTCATAAGGAGGACGAATCGCTCAAGCAGCAGCTAAAACAACTCGTGAAACGTTTGATGACCACCCTAGCGATGAATGCGAAGAAACGAATCGAATGTCAGAAGTACTGGAATCCTCACAGTAAAGTGTGACAATCGGTGAAAATGACTGGAATGACTTTGGAATAAATGTTGCGCAAAACTTCGAGTGAGGCGGGACTTGAACCCGCATTTCACCCTAGTCGTTGGCGCGTGCTCTATTCCTTGCATTGCCTACGCTTACTTTGCAACCACTCTTTCTACGCGACAAAGCATCTGTCCGCATATGCTCACTGATGAAAAATTTATAAAAGCTAAGATTTCGTTTCTGGCAGCTTTCATAGTTTATATCGCGGAAAGAGTGGTAGCAAAATGGTGGCCTCGATAGTGCGGTGATGAGTCCCGCCTGATCTAAAAGTTCCGAACATCTCTCCACATCACTGAGTATATTTTTGATAATTGTTGCCCTCTTGCATTATGAAAACGGAGTTTTGTTCAGCGAAGCTGCAGTGGCAATGAAATCCATGTTTAATAACAATCAGCTCACTTATACTAATTCAAACTTGATTGATCATACACAAATATTGTACTGGATATTGAAGGACGACCACCTTCTGTGCTTCTCATTGCTTATCCGCTAACGTAAACATCTCACTGTTAAGTGCAGACGTATGCCGAGGTATCAAGGCAGGCTTGCCTTGTCTCAGTCCTAATTTGCTTTACCTTATTTTGATTTTCAACTTAACTTCTTAATTACCTCAAATAACACTTACCTCTTCGAATCCGTCCTCATCAATTGTGGAATTGCCTTGATTTCGCTGCCTTTGGCGTGCCGGTTTCTTCTGTGATGACGGTGACTTCACTACCACCTCTTTGATATGACTTGGTGAGAGGAACGCGCGTTGAGGTGGCGGTGGGATCACTGACGTGGGTAAGGCACCACTACTCATTGTCGATAAAACTGTACGCATTGACTTCTCTATGGAACCTGCCAGCATAGATCCGACTTCATCCTCTTCCTCCTCCAACAAAAGATTTGTCGCCGTCGACGAGAGCCTTTCGTCCTGAATTTCTAATGTTCAACTTTTCAGAGGAAGCTATTTCTTGATTGGTTATTTTAACAGATTTAAATTGCAGTCAAAAGGTGCATGAAGTCAGTGAAATGTAACAGTCTAGTTGGTGTGACAAAGTAAGCTTGTATGATAATTTATATTATGAAAAGAACTCGTGTCCCAAAGCGCCAGCGAAACAATAGAAAACGGAAGTGTGGAAGCCGATGAAGAGAATGTGACTCTTTCACCGTTTGCTCTCAGTCGTTCATTACTCCTCATAGTGTAATACGGATTCGCCTGTGTTTGGTCTGAAAAATCGCACCTGATATCGTCGGCAAAGCTTCAACCAGCTGTGCAACATCCTCGTCCATTGGCCCAGATTTCCTTTTGCCAGCTATAGAGAAAGTCCTCAACATCTTTCCGATCGCTGAAATAAAACAAAGTAATAGTATTCTCTTGAATGATCAATTTATACGAAATTGATAAATAAATTCTATTCAGTTGTTTAACGTTTTAATGTTTTCGCCTCCTTCATTTCGGACACTCCATGGAAGCGACCAATCATACATGAAGTCCAGATTTCGCGCCCAGGTTTTCTAATCAACAGTCCCCCAGTGCTCTTTTAGGAGGCAGAAATGTCGGCTGATATTTCCATCACGTCAATAAATCTGTACACCTCCCAAATGGCACTTAATTGAAGTCTTCTGAAACTTAATCAGCACACAACGATCAGTCGTTTTGTGTAGTCACGAACCTCGAAAGCTATCCCATCTTTGGGTCCAGAGATATGTACATCGATAGCGAAAGGCGAATATGCCCATCACATAACAGCAAGAACAGGTGAGAGATGGATGAAAAGAACAGTGCAGCAGATGCAATCAAAATGCAAACGTCCTCTTGAACGACCAATTGGACCATGGGCGGACGTGTTTGTAACTAACGACGGCCATCTACATCCATGGATGTCAACAAGTTCAATATTACGGAATGGACTTTATGTATGCCACCATGCTTGAAACTGATCACTATTATAGACGACCCTTTGGAGAGAGCGGAATCTATGAAAATTTTTTTGAAACTCGCATTTCAGTGAAGGACGAGCCATCCGAGCAAGCACTTTTAGCACTTTAGCACTATCTGTGATCCGTTTTCGCAGTATTTTTCCACTATGCGGATCCCAGTACTTCTAGCATTCAATTCGTTTCTTTCGCCCTCTTCGTGAAGGTCGTAGAATACTGGTTGAGCGAGTCATCACAACCACTCGCCCCCCCCCCCCCCCCCAAATAAGCATTGTTGTCAATAAACATTTCATAAGCATTAATATTACATTCTGTTTGAGTTGAACTATCCACATGAAGTTGTCCCCTGGCATTTGCTGGCACATGCACTGAAGTCGTTCGAGTCACTCCTAGTCCGGAAGCACCTATCGACTTCGTGGAACTTCTGAATCACTTCACAAGATCAATGAAATTGTAAACGTCACTATTTTGCAGTTACTGAATCCTAAACACGTCTTAAATCATATTACGCTCAATTGACCACAACTACCAATCAACAAGCAGTCAGCGAGCAATAATCAACTTATACCTCAAAGATGTTGACTGTACAGATGCTCGTGTGGTCGTTTTACTAGACGGTTGTTTATTGTCCAGCGTTTGCTGTGAATTGCCAAAATGACAACTGAAATGCGTGAATGCGCAACGACGATCACAACGATAACAGATTAAACGCGCAAGAGTGCGATAATGCTTACCGAATCAACTTTGTCGTCGTATATGACGCTCGAACGTTCTTTTCCGGATGAAGAACGATTATATAAAGTTTAGGAAAAAATAACAGAATTAGAGGTATGGAGGCAGACAATGAAAATGAGAAACTCATGGTGAGCGCTTTGTTGACAGTACCCATATGCAAGACAATGAAAGCAATCCAGACAACCAAAGTACAATACCTAAAAAGATCTTGCTCGAAATACTGTTGATAAAAGACACGAATACGAATATACTCACATCGTGAATCCAATAAATTTCGCTTCATTGAAGTTTTCCGGAAGATTACGAGTCTTAACCGCATAAAGTGTGCATAGTGAGATCAAGAACAGATTCCATAAGAAGGGCGTCATAAATGATCCAGAAGAAGTAGAACAAAACCAGTACCAGTCTTAAATAAGGCACCGTTCTCAAACTAGAACGTATAAAATTGACAAATTTGCTTTAATGGTCTGTCGCCTCATGACAACTATGATCGGCGAACCTTTTCGTTCTTCAGAATCATCACAGCTGTATTTGAAACTTTTACCCGAAATCTTGCACTTATGTCAAGGTCACGGCTAAGTCTGACAAGCTATCCGTGATTACCTGTTTTTCACGCTGAGTATGCCAAGACTACTCGTATAAAAAAATGCTGTTCTTGCCACCTACCGGACACCGCCATCTCATGAAAAGGTGAATATGGATTGCTCACGTTATTAGTACACCTAAGATTAATTTTTGTATCAATTTGTACGTAAAACGAAAAATGGCTGCATTTTTAACGGTGTTTAGAATATAACAGTGATTGTGACTGCAAATGCTGAATAATGCCGAGAGTGGCAGGGTAAGAAGATGAAAAGCAGCCAAATAGGGTTTTATTTATTCTGGATGGAAATGAACATTAGCATGTTGTACTCTATCAACTGAATACTTGACACGAAAGTTTTGCACATCCCTCTGCATCAGTGGGTATATTTGTAACATCATAACAGCGAAAAAAGAGATTAAATAAGAATTTCTCTTTGACCATTCAATACCCAATGTCTGTCAGCGTGACTGGGTTCAATGTCGATACCGGCTACCCGGGCCATGCCGTTGACGGTTGGCAATTTACAGATAGATGTGTTGTAGCGTAGAAAGAGGGGTTCGCAAAATGGGCGTCAGTAGTGCAACAGGTTAGAGCACTCGATCCTGGATGGAGTGAGATGAGGGTTTGAGTCCCGCCTGACGCAAAAGTTTTGCACATCACTCTGCATCACTGGGTATATTTGAATAATTAATTGTTGATACCGTGAAGGCAAATAATGAGCAGAGAATCCAGCTGATGGCCATTCCTTGAGAACTCCAACAGCAACGATCATACATTGTATTCCGACAAGAATCCACGTAATTACAACCTAAAAATAAAAAACAATCAAATATTAACATAGCAGTACAACAGCATGCCATCTATACTAACCAATCACACATATCCCGCTGATCTACAAAGCAATCATAGTTCAGCAGAAAGCTAGTAGTCACCAACATATTAAATTCGAAGCCGCAATTCCTCACGAGGTCGAAAATTTGGTTGCAAATTTGTCTACGACAAGCAAATTTCTTATTATCCATGTGCAAACGCCTATACACGACTTTTCATCAATTTCTTGATCCGTGGAGACGAGGAGTATAAAAAAGCAACTCAACCATCATTTGATCACTTTAGCACAAAAGACAAATTTCTCAAGGAGAGATCAAAGCCACACAGATTAAAAAGCGCGAAGATTCTTTTTGGATGGTGATTGTTAGAAAATTATTTGAGTGTAACAGGTGGCGGGAACCATGCAGTGTGATCCATATGATGTTTGGTTTTATGAAAACGAGAAAAATGTAGTTGTAAACTAAACAAACCTGTGAAAATGTGCTGAGAAAACGAGGTTTCTTCGTAAGTATTCTTTTTTTACTCCCAGCCAGAATTCTCGCAATACGATTCGTTTTTGTAAGTAACGCGGAGTATACTATAGAAAACGCAATAGGTGGAATAATTCTAAAAACGTTCAAAATTTTGCTATGCAATTCTCTTTGAGACAAAATTTTTGTTGGCATTATATGTTAATCAATGGTGTCGATGTAATCGTACGGTATTTTAGAAATCCATGGTCAAAAAATGAACTAAGCACTTTGAAGAGTGATCAAGCCAACAAGAATATTCATACACTCAAAAAACTTCTCACCTAGTGAGGAAACAGGAGACTGATGATGGCTTGGCCAAAATCGAAAACGTTACAGCGTAACAGATCATAATACCTAAATCCAAGAACTTTGAGGTTGATAGTGTTATAGATGATGTAGACTTACCTGAAAGAATAATGTAGCTCAGCTCCCTAGTTGTGCTTTTCACCACCGGTGTACTGTTATGTCTCATAAAGATAATCGTTGTCAGTGCGGTGGCTATCATGCCAGTACTGGCCAGAATTAATGCCAAGACGGAGCCGAACGACGACCACGACAATGTCTCATGAGGTAACTCAATACAACCTGAGCAGTTTTAGTCTTCTAAGTGGAAAATCTGGAAGACTTGTGTAAGACGGTTTTCCTCCAACAAAATCTTACTGCTTCTGGTAACATCTGGCCAATAGCCTATACTACAGTTCTGGCACTGATTTGTCGTATAGTTCACGATCTGATGGTCCATACAGGTCTCGCAAATCCAGCAGCAAAGCAATTGTTTCGCGTTGCTAAACATTTCGCTAAACTAGATACTATGTTTTTTCGTTTTGGAGTAATCTTCTGAAAACGCGTACGGTTTGCCACACGCTTCATGGGCGTACAGTGCACGTATCGAATGTTTTGCAGCAAGAATCATCATGCACATTTTGTGGTGCACTAGGATTTACATGATATAACAAGTAGTAAGAATAGCGTTTCTTAATAGCTTACCCGCTGACCAATACCACACGGTTTGCTGCAAACACTTTCGGGAAGCACGTTGGAATGGTCGAAGAACACGATGTTCTGGGTGCTTGTCATGTTTAGCTCCTCCACGCCGTTCACATTGTTTGATTGGAAACTGCCTATTTCAGCGTATGGATGGTCAGGTTTCCGCTTGCCGACGTAATTAAGAATGTCGTACCTAAAATAAATCATCTGTATTTTCTTTAGTAAAAAGCTGTTTTGGAAGGGCTTTAATAAAAATAACTTGTTCTCGCGGTCGCTCAGTAGACACTGTTTGCTCATGGGATACGAAAAGCACGAGAATTTTTTGCGCAACGCATCCTAGCTGAGGCACTTAGAGAACTCTATCATCCGATGGACTTATCCTAGTTAGGTATCCAGTTGAAAATCTTGGGTTACTTGATTCAGAATATCTGCTGAAGATGAAGAGCTCGATGTAACACAGTAACTCGGCATCTGGGATCAATCTTCCCAAATTGAGGTGTCAAAGTATTGAAGAGTTGAAGAGGAGCGAACAGGATTCTTATGACGCACAATAAATCTGATTTGAGCTTTTTAGTGTAGAACTATTTTCATAATGCAATGAAAAACGTTGAGCTAAGAACAAAGAAAAGGAAAAGATGTTTGAGAAGGGAATAGATTAAGAAATTGCTGACGATTAAAATCATTGTTTTTATGGCGCATTACATGCTGTACATGGTTACAAAAAATTGAATGCTTACTAATAAATAATAGCAGCTAAAAAAATGTTCTCTTTATTTTTTAGCAGATAAGAATCAATTCTAATCGCTTTGAGCATCATTGGTTCTGTCGTTAAGTATTTAAAATAGCTTAGGCTGTTTCGAATCTGTGTTGTCGTTCTCATCTTTCCTTGAGTCTGTATTGCGTCTTAACTTGACTACGGCATGACACAAAAACGAGCCACGGTTTGTCGTGCCGGACGCCGCGCGCGACAGGCAATTCGCACTGATCTCGGTGGATTTGAAGGAATTTGTCAAGTAAATTGAGGTTTCAACCTAATCACGCCGGCATGCCAGATTTTGTAGCACGTCGCACGACGTCGCATCTCACTCCTAGCTACTGTAATAGCGGTGTCACGTCTGTCCGTGAAATTGTATTGACGCACGCCGCATTTGAATTAAAGGAACTTATCTAATAAATTGAGGTTCTGAGGGCGAAACGTTATCACCATTGAATGATGAAATATCACATAGAAAGACTTCTATAAAAGTGTTTATTATCAAAAAGAACAACCCTGTGTCGGAAAATTCCATATATATCACGATAAAGCCAGATTGTTGTGAAAGTAAGCATAAATGTTCAGCTGAAATATAACATTTGTTTCCTTTTTCCAATCTATGTTATTGTGGTCATTCGATGGCTTGAGAAATGCCGATTCTAGACCTGAGATTATTCTGTCAAACGACCTTCATATTGTGTTTTGCATGAAAAGTATGATAAAGTTTTGATTACAAAGTGTAATGCTCCAATTGAAGAGCGGATTTTTCGGAGTTGTATAGTGAAATGTTGGTTCTAGGTAAACTGCGTTGCTATAAAAAGGTAGATTACTATTGGAGAACTCATTAAAGCGTATTTTTAGTAAGGAGAGCACCCAGTTGTCCTAAGCATTTTCACTTTTCATTACGAGTTTCATGGAATGCACTCCGCTTTCCTCTTCCTTTTTACTCGGCAGAGATTCTTCATCAGACTAATGTAGTCACACTCGATCGTTTGAAGGATGAAGATTTCAATACTGAACTTGGTTTTACTAAATTCTTCCGTACTTCGTTTTAGCTTTAAATTTCGCAATCGGAGTGCATTTTTATAACTTCACAGCAGAGTTTTTCATTTGAGGTAGAATTATTTCATGAAAACTTCGTCACTCCAAAAAATAGGTTCTTTTGGAATGATTTATATAAGACGTACTTTTTAGTGACAAACAACACCCAGTTTTACTAAAAAATTCTACTTCTCATTAGGAGTTGCATGGAATGCAGTTGTATTGTGTGGAATGTATCTTGTTTCTTTTCCTTTTTACTTAGCAAAGCTTTTCCACTGAACCATTGGTAACGATTCAACATCCTAAAGTTGGAAATTTTAGTTTCGGAGCGCGTCGCTTCAAGTAAACAGCAAATTTTTCATTAGTGTACAGTAGAATCTCGACTCCCAGAGAACTTTGCTATTACAATAGATTTTTACTGGAGGGGCTTTATTTAACATATTCCAGTACAAAGGAACACCTTCTTTTTCTACACAGGAGTAACATTAAAGAGATAAAAGCTCATTTCCAACTCTTTCTTGGAATTTCTTTCTTTTCTGGCCATCCATTCCTCAAAAAAATCCGTTTTATAATTCTCGAAAAGCGTTCAGCTCATGAAATGCACTGATCACTCAAGAATTGTTGAAAGTAGTCTATGAAGTAACATTTTCTGCAGTGAGCATTACCGTTCTTGACAAACCATTTATTATTTCCCAGAATTTCAACACTATTACAACTGTTAGCTCTTGAAGGGAATTCAAGGATATCAAAAACGTCGTTATACTCGATTTCGAAAGTATATAATGCTAACATATTAGATTACTTGACAAATTTGTTCACTTGTGGTAATGAGTAATGGTGAACTGTTCTTAGCATAAGAGATGAAAGACAAATGTGGGAAGAACCTGTCGTCTTTCAATCTTCTTATTAGCCAATCCTTTCGGGAACCTGCTCTCCCTACAGAAAGGTATCGAAGACGAATGATTTACACTGCATGTCAAGTGAAAATATTACCGAACTTACAGTGTTTTACACTCGATTGCTCTTTGGCTGGTATTTTTTATAATATTATATCGATATTATATATCGGTCGTCTTCGATACTTCTCTGTAAGGAGAGCAGGCCTCCCAGACAACTGGCTAATAGAAGGATTGAAAGACGACGGGTTCTGCCCGACTTGACGAGACTGTAAGGTCGAAACACGTTTATCGGGCTGTATAAGAGCCCTTATCAGATCACATGAATGTTGGCTTAGATAATAATAAGGGATCTATCGAAATTTGAGCGTGGTCTTAAGAAAACACTTGAAAAGGTGTAACATGGAAATGTTCGATAACAGTCGAATGTATCCCTTTCGTAAGCATTTAGTAATCATCCGAAATTTCGAGGTTTTAGAGGAAGCACTACCCTGCTTTCTCATTACACCGATGAATAGTGCTCATATCTAATATAAGTGGATGATTTAAAATTTATTACCAATAAGACAATTAAACAAAGCCTCTTCTACAACTAAGTTTAGGCTCTTGAAGTGCGCTTTCA